CTGCCACTAGGAACATCAAGAGATGTGAAAAATACTAAACTAGGAATTGGCATATAGAAAAAAGCATAAAATCTGCCATGCAGACTGAATGCCAGACTGTGGGCCAAACCACCAGGAATATATATATAAAAAATATATCATGTTCGTTATCCATCTGGGCTATAGGAAAGACCTTGCTCTTTTAAAGTGATTTTTTGAGTCTCCTTCTTAGAGTAGATAGTTATCCTAAGTTGTCAGAGTGAAAACACACTCACTTATCAATTTGCCAACTGTTAAGCACAAATTCTGCTTGAAACAGGGGTTTCTGTGACACTTTTATGCCCACGGCTGGGGTCCTGCCAGATATGCGTGGATACCCTTGTCTGGATTAAGGTACTAAGCTAATTTCATCATGTAAAATCACTGCTTCCTTTAAGAATTGCATTTGGTTTCATCAATATTTACCCTGCTGGCTGAACCCTTCTAAAAATTGACTTGCCAGAAGTCCTTTTTTTTCCCCTGATGGCTCAAGGGAGCCACTGGATCTATGCTGCAGAGCACTGATACCATCAAATCTGCCCAGTCTCCTCCTCTCCTCCTCCCTCTCTGCTCGGCTTCTGCTACACCTCCCTTCCATCTTTTTTTTTTCTTTTTTCTGTGGAGAACAGAAGATCCCCATAACTCTGCTATGCTGCTCTGAAAAGAATTTTTTAAATTCCTACTATTATTTAATCACAGCTTTCAGTGCCCCTGCTGCAATAAAACATAACAGTGGGCTGGCACTTCATCAATAGTAATTTGCTGACATTACAGTCACAGTAGCACTGGACGTAATTGCCCTGCTCTACCACTAACTCCATAAGGTTTCTTGATCTTGGTCAATATTTCTCTGTACTGGGGCTATGGTGAGAATTTTTGATCTAACAACTCAGCTTTGTAATTTACACTTGCTGACCGTCTGCCTAGGATTCATTCCTCCAGTTAGTCAGCACCCTCTCCAGTCCCCAACTTCATTCTTGATATTTAAATTTATTCGGGCACACTGTATTCTTCCTTATCCTCAATTTTACACATTAAAGCACAGCACTTAACTTCTAAACTGAGATAACTGCAGTTATTAGATGTGCTAACACGAAGACAGAAAAATAAGAAAAACTTAGGACTTTGAATTCCTTAGAGGTCCACAGTCTTGCCAGCAAGAATAGGATCTCAGATCACATGGATTATTAATAAGATGTTTGTTGCAGGACAGAAGGCACCTTGAGAATTAATTTGATTATGTGGAGTTTTCTGTAGACAAATAAAACACAAATTATGACCCCAAATGTTTTCTACTAGCAATGAAGGATGACAACAACAAAATAACAAAAAAATAATGTATATTCTTACTGACAGAACATACTGTGTGTGAGACACTTTAAAAGTCACCATTGTGACTGCAAATATTTATCACTTATACTGTTGTAGCTTCCCAGAGTTTGAGACAGGGATGACACTATGGAGAGAAGAAAAAGCTTCTCCCCAGAGAGCTCTCAGACCACATCTCAGATTGGGTGGCTTTGCAGGAGGCATGCAAGTACCTTTGCTAGATATTTAAGGAATGAGACATAGAAAACATGCCACATCATACTGCATGTTATATGGCTATGTGGAAAACCGCACATACTGAGATACGCATGTTGTAAAACACCACAGGGAGCTAGTATATTTTAATACTTTTGTTGAGCTTTTTGTGTCACTTCTCTATGAAAACATAGTCTTGCTTTAATAAAGCGGCCTTCACAGGCACTGCAGAGTCCATTATAGAAGTGGACCACTGTAAAACTCAGGAACACAGGGCGGAAAGAAGATGAAGGGAGTTGAAGAAGACACTGCAGCCCTTTATGTCAGCCAGCTGACAAGCCCAAGTGCTAGAGGCCAGTGGAGCCCTGATTATGAATTCCCTAATTGGTTGCTCTTCCTGAGAGTCACCCAGGAACAGGTCAGGCGGCAGCAGTAGCATGGCAGCTCATCCCTCCTTCCACCCTCACTGTGGCTTAAAAGTGAAAATGTTTGGTAACAGAGTACCTGCAAGAGTCCTCCTTTCATGTATTCATGGGTGGGATGTTGCAGAGCTTTTCCACACAAAAACTCCTCGTCAAAGGTGGGGTAGAGCAAGTGTTGTACTCCACTGGTCGTGGCTGTACTCCAAGATTTCTGAAGAAACCAGCAAGTTATTCTAAGGCCCCAAGGCTCTTGCTTGTCCCATAGGAGTAGCCTGGGGACACTAGTGCCTGCCATTAGATTTGGACTATGGGCTGGAGTTCACTCCATCCAAAGCCAATGGCTTTAGAGTCCACTCCATTCAAAACCCTGTCCACTTTGGCCAATCGGTTCACACCAACGAAAGATTACCACACAAACTAAGCTTTGCTTATTCTGCACATTCTGCCAAAGTTTTCAAAACCACTTAACGAATTTGGACACACTCAAGGACTGTTTTTAGATTCCAGTGCTATTTGTTTAATGGAATTACTTTATAAGCATTGTTGTTGAGATTTTCAAGACTTTGGGGATTTGGGCAACTAATTCCTCTTAAATTTTAATATAAAGTAACATCTGAATCTGGCAACAGTGAGCTACTTGCAAATATCCAATAGTTGAATAAGTTCATTTCATAGCCAGAACAAGGCTTCCATTCACAGGGATATGGATGAAACAGGTGGCTGACGTTTCTGTCTGGAGGATTATTTCATGTTGGCTATACAAACCATGGTGCAAGTTTTCACACCCATGTCATCCAAGTGTTTCATTTTAAAAGGCCTTTAAGCCTCCTGATATTAAATGTATATTGATAAATATAAGCATGTGCATACAAAAGTATGTGTAAGTATATACCTGTGTTTATTTGCTATGTATGAATGTATATGCACATGCACATTTATAATTCCTTGGTTGTGCGTGCCTGGTCATTTGATGTGTTTAGAAACTCCAAGTATTGCTGTTCTTACTCTGCACAGCAGTATCCCATGTTCCTCTGTGGCTGCCCAGGATGTGCTACTGCTTGGAGGACTTCAGTGGGACACATTTCCAACAGGGTGTTTCTCAGAGACTTGGAGCCCTTCATCCTAAAACAGCAGTTATCAAAGGGAACAGGCATGTAGGGGTGGGAGAGGGATCAGACTCTACAGTGTTCAGGCAATGCAAGCACATATGGCCTGCAGGCAAAGCTAGAGTTGGGGGAAGGTTGCAGCATGAAATAAGGGCTGGGAGCACTGAGATCCCCATTTTGCTCTTTCTGTAGTAAGGTTCAGGACAGTCATATTGCAAAACAAGGGAGAGGAAAGGGAAGAGATAAAGGATAAGATCTCGAGAAACCCTAGCCTCCCATACAATCACGAGAAACTGAGAAGGTCTTACGGTTTCAGAATGAAAGAAAACTACTCGTTAACTTATGTGAGGCAGCGGGTTTCCCAATAACAGCCCCTACACATTCTGGTTTTAATATAGTTGACTGTGCAAATACAATAATATATATATATATATATATACAATGACAGTTTATTCCAAATTGGTCATTGTTGGAGTTAATAATTAGGCAGTCAAGTACTAATTATCTCTGCTTTGTCCCCAGTCATTAAGAAAGGCATTTGGTGAAGTAATTTTGGAGGAATGCATTAAAGCTGGCCACAGTTGTGTGGCTATGTGTGCGAGAGACACATCGCCCTAAAGAGTTACACCAGTATAAACCTCAGAGCAGGATCAGGGCAATACTGTTATCTGGGAGCTCCAGAAGCTCTGAATATCACATACAGAATGCCAACAGGCTGCACTTGGGAAAAATGCACACATGTGTGGTGCTCAGCATTTCTTTGCACCACTGTTCTGTCCCTAAAAGAGGAAAGCTTGACAAAAGCATTATCTGGAGCTCAGAGATCAGAACAACTCTCAGTGAGTGCACATCCATGTCGTGGCTGCTAGAGCTCTTCTCCTAAGCAGGGGTTGGCTGGCTGGGCAAGGGCACAAGGATGTACAGGAGTAAAAAAAGATGGCAAAATGGGACTGCTCAGAGGACATGTGACTTAAGTGTTTAATCTAAAATAAATGTCTCACATGTCTTAAGGAAAGTGTTTGGGGCAGGAGCACTCCCAAAGACTTCAAATATAACTGTGGAAGACATCCAGCTAAATTAATGCTGCAGATCCAATATAAAAGGAAGATTTTGACCTCATGCAACACTCCCAGAATAAAAGGTGGAAGGAGGAATAGGGAAAGGCTCAAAGAGCCCTGTTACGAAGGTTGCCCTTATGAGCCAGTCACTGCCTTCCCCTATGGAGGCAACTGCATTAGGTGTGCTTGAGCCAAAGCACACACTGGACAAAGATTTCCCCTAGCAAACGTCAAAGAGGTTCTGTGGGAATCAGCAGAAATATGCCGAGCTACAGGAGATGAGAATCTGGCCCAGGGATGAGAGACTTGGGCACAAGGTTTGAGCTGTCCGAGTTCCCACAGAGGCAGTGGACACGTGTAAGGCCCCCTCTGCAGAGCTGTGCTCTCCAAGCACAGCTGAGCCAGCCCAGCTGCTCCTCATGTGCCTTCTGACAGCAACTGGGATAGCAAAGCATTTGCTGGGAATGCAAAGAATGGGAAATGCCATGGCCAAAGGAATGCAGGGAGCTGCAGGCGGCCGTCGGCAGCACGCTTCTCTTGTAAGGTGAGTGAACTATGAAGCACAGTGAAATCCATTGCTGTGACCATCCTCCTCTCTCTTCAATATGTATTGTAGAGCTTGTACAAAACCCACTGGATGAGGATCATCTGGATAGTATACAGCACATATTTTTGTTAGCCACTTTCCATGAAAACGACCACCATCAGAATATATTCACACTGTGCCCTAGAGCAGGGCATCCAAATTTCCCTTTTCAGTTATTCCTGTATAACTTCTCATTTAAGGATCTCCATGGTTATCCTACTCTTGAGGGTGCTAAAATAAACACAGGAGGCCAAGAAAAAACGCACACAACCTCTCATGAGCTTACCTCAACATAGAGGATAGGGAAAATGCCAATCTTGTCTCCCAGCATTCCTTCTGCCCAGTTATCATCTACCCTCCTGATGACAGTTAAAATTTCATCCTAAAATCAGAAACAGACAAAAAAAAATCAGAAACAAACAACAGACAAAAACAAGTATTTTCTTCTACACTGAGATGTCAGTTTTTACAATTACCCACATAACAACTTAGGAAGAGGCAGCACACACCACATAAAAATCCTCCCTGAATCTTGAGCCGTCCAAGTTTGTCCTCCAAAGCATATTAAACAGACTTACAGACAGCTGCAGTTCGTGCTAGCTGCCAGAGGCTCCAAAGGCCTGGGAAAAGTAGGTAGGAACAAGTAGGTAGCCTTTAACGCAAAGGAGAAAACACTTAAGCACAAACCAGCCCCTGTGCTCTTTTATTCTAAAGAGCCTATCCAAGTGTTTGGTTGCTCCAGAAGAAAATTCAAAGGGAAGTCCCAGTGGAGAACAGGCAGAGCAGACATCCAACATGAGATGTAAGGTATAGCATGAAGCGCTTAGAAACTAGCCTGCACTGCATTTTGGTCTCTTTTTTTTTTTTTTTAATGTCATGTCAAAGAGCAAACCATGTAAAAATGCAAGAATATTATAACAATTCTTGCATTGAACTGTTGCATTGACTTCAGTTTACATTAAGTTAGTTTTGCAAAAGCAACACATCAGTGGCATTTTAAATCTTACAGTTAGTCTAAGCAAAATTACAGAAATCTCAGCTGAAGATGCCCTTTTCTTGATTATGGGATTAAGAAAAGTATAAATAAATAAGTTTCGTACTGCTCAAAAGTTCTCTTGATGGAGTCAAAACTGAAAACTCACCAGTGATTAGAAAAGCTCACACAACTTGAAAAAAAAACGTGACTTACTCTTGTTTGGGATGCTTAACTCACTGCCTGATTTGTGCTGTTTTTTGTGTGCTTGAGATTGTTATAATCAACAAAGACTTGAAGGGGTTCCAGTTGTTACAAATACTGCTGAGGAAAACCTTCTCTCCATACTAAGATCTCATGAAGTGTTTCCTGTGACTAGTGGAAAGCAATGGTCTGAAAAGATGCTGCAAAGTTAAGTTGGATGATCACTCATTTTCTCATTGCTTCCCATCTTATTCCAACCCTATGCAGAAATCAATTAAAAAAAAAAAAAGAAAAAAAAAAGAAAAACATCTTTCTCCAGAAGGCTGAGGCTGTTCTTAACCTTTCTTTTATTTTCACCACTCGTTACTGTTCTAGGAAAATAAAAGCACACTTACCTACATGCGCTAATACTTCATGTAAATAACCTAGCCATGTGGCTGTTCAGGCAAGGGAAGGATTTTTTGCAGCTACTTCTCCTCACAGAGGGACTAAAACACATCAAAATTCCTAAACTAGAATGTATTGACAATGGTTTTAAATGGATAGAAAGGGATCAGTGCAATGATGTACTTTGCAGTTTTTGAACTTGCCTATTTTGAACATATGCATTTTGAAATAGTTTAAATGTTTCCCTTGATTTATTCCTCTCAATGCTCCATTATGGGAAAGCTAGTGAAAACAGACACAGACTGAGTCCTTCAGCTATTTATTACAGCTGGAAGGATGCAAGAATAATTTGTGCATTTAATTTCCTGAAGAAACAGATAGTATCCCCTTCCAAAGCCCTGTCTGCATGGACCGTTTTTGATCTGTGTAAAGAACTGACAGTAACATAGCTCTGTAAAGTTTCCACATGCTCTTACAAGAGTCTAATTGTAATAAATTTAGCATGTTGGTAAAGGGGGTAAATGAGGAAAATAGGAGACCGAATTGCTTCAATAGGACAACCTGTTCTAGTTGTTCAGCTACTTTCTCAAAAGGCTTTTTATAAACCCCGAAGCATGATGAATTTATACTTTCAAGGAGATATATCTATACATCTATCTATGTGCACGTGTGGGTATAAAAATAAAAAACACATACTTATACACACATATACATGTATACGCATGCACACACAAGATTAGATACTAAGAATAAACTCTCTAATTGTAAAAACACTGAAGTGCTTGACTGGATTTCTTGGAGTACCTGTGGACTATTCTTTCCTCGAGTAGGCTGGACAGGCATCTGGCAGGAAAGACTTATCCCAAGCTGATGCTGCTTTAGGATGGGGCATGGAATGGGTGACCTTTCAAAATACCTGCTTTATTTTCAATAGACCTATGATACCTGGGTGAATTTCTCTATATTTACTTTAGCTAGGCTGTGCCAAATTTGGCTACCAAATGTATGAGACAATCAGAGAGCTGCACATCAAGAAACATGCTGACATTCATAATGCTTATCTTTGTAGGAGAGCAAAGTGAAGATCCTTGAGAATGTTTTCCATTATGGAATTCTTTTTCAGAAGGATGTTGAAAAATACCAGGGATTACAACAAATCCTGAGACATGACTGAAATTCTTTATTAGTAGAAAGTTTCATTGAATTCACAGCCCAGGACATTGTTCTACACACTGGGCTGGCAAAAGTTTCAGCATGAACTATTTCAGTGCTTTAAAGTAGTTGGATAGCAATGCTACCTATATATTCCTAGAAAGGTTCCCAAAAGGATTATGAATAGCAAAAAGCCACAGATCTCTTGGCACGCCACTTGCGTCTTCTAAACTTCACTATTTCACATCTACTAAACTGATTTCCAGACAGCACAAGTGAATCCAAGCCTAAAATCTCATTTCAATGGCCAACAGTGTGTACTGCAGTTTGACACAGACACCTTGTGCCCTTTTTTTTTGCCTGTTGCTGAAGTTTCTCTAATTATTTGTTCTTTCTTCCTTGTTAAAGTCCCTCTATTCATCAGTGCCTGGCAGCCTTGCCACAGGCATGTAGGGCCTGCAGTTCCAGTTTCTAATCATCATCAGAAAGGAAGCCAAAGAGAAATCACTTGAAAAACAATCTGACTGACAGAGAAATGAACCCTTTTGTTGAAGAAACAGCACAAACCTGTGTCCAATAACAGGCGTGATTCACAGCCTGATTTTCACTCTAGTCATTAAGGGCCTTTAATGAAGCAATATGAAGCAGATGCATTTGCTGTTCTGTAGAGATGGCAACTCCAGCTAGCGCATGAGGGAGACTTGAGTGGCACTGCGTGGCACTCGGTGTGCCTGCCCATGGCGCTCACCAGCTGGCAGGATCCAGTAGCTGCTACAACAACTCCACTGAAAAGCAAATGCCTCTTGGATTGAATGCTAACAGGCTGGGGTGTCACTCCGTAGTGAGGAACTGGGATTGGAAGCGATAGCTCCAAGATTGGCCCAAAACTTGCTAAGCACTGCTGAGGGCTGGGATAATAATGTCAGAATAAAAATGTCAGAAAATGGAGGAAATAAAGGAAGGAAATAAATGAGAGACTGATTAAAAATGTAATGAATAGTAAAGCACAAGAAACAGTTGATGCTACCCTGACAGCTTCGAAACTCCTCTACCACTGGGACAGAACCTTCAAAGGGCCACACAAACTCATTCGTGGAAAGCGTGGTCAAGAACTGAAATAGCACTGTGTACTAAATTTGGACTCATCCAAAGCACGGAGTAACTACACACACAGACCATACTATGATTGCATAAGATTTACACTATTGTAGCTGAGAGCAGAGTCCTTTTGTGCTTGGCTTATACCAGCAAACCTAGCCCAGAGAAGGCTGAATCATTTCTTAAAAGCAGAGACAGCACGAGTCCAGGCTCATACTGTGGTATCGCATAAGAGGACATTAGGAAGCTGTTTTAAATGAGTATATCCCAGATGCATGTGATGAGACTCTGCAGGTCACATGCTGATTGCACTGTGCTTGGGGCAATCAGGAGCAACACTTCTGCAGCTGCTGGGGGCAAACTGGGGCAGAACTGACACCGGGCTGCAACCAGTCATTACAGAGAGCAACATAACTGCTAGATAATGGATTTGGCTGATCCCTGCCAAACCCTGCGTGAGAATAGGTAAGTTGCAGATCCAGGATGTTTCATCTTCTTGTGGCCACTGCAGAATGCGAGGCAGTGGGAGGACCTGATGCTTTTACACATGACTAATTCAGGAAGAGGAGTCAAGGGCGTAACTGAAAAAGATTTGACTTTTGTTCATTGCCCTGGATACTCACGATGGAGATTTGCCACTTTTATGCTTACAGCCATGCATACAAAAATACTATAACTGATTTTTCTTTGGCCTTTTGACTTCAGAGCTTTTATCTACAGGAGACAAAAATGGACAAATGGCAGCAGCTCTCTGCAGCACTGCTCATGAGGAGCACAGCAAAACACCCTTCATTTCTTTGCATTCCATCTCTGGTACAGCAGGACATTTTAATTTTGGAAAAAAAAAAACCTACCAAGAGGGAAACCAAAATATCATTCCTTTCCTTCATACATTCATTCCTTTGGTTTTCTTTATTACACCTACAGATATTCTGACTGCACCATAACAAAGGGGATGGGAAAAAAAGGTAAGTCAAAAAAGTGCAATAACTAACATGGAATATCCCTGTATTTGTTGTCCCTTCTTGTAGTTTCTCCTGCAAGAGAAATTCTTCTATAATACAAATTTACAAGTAGTTCTAAATGCCTCATAGCTTTAAATGAGCTGCAGGACTGCAGATAGGTTACCCTGGTTTGTATGACTGATGTGCTGATGCAATTCCTCTACCTGAGGAAAGAAAGAGATTGCTTAAAAGAAATTGAAATCAGGTCCAGGATCTTCGGATGCAAACAGTGACATTCAAATGATGAATATTACTCTGAGTGACAAATCATATCCACAGCAACACAGTGCTCATGACTATACACAGAACTGACTACATCAGCAGGTGATCTAAAATCTGGGCTAAACAGCAACCTTTATCAGCACAGGTGACAGCTAAAATTAGCATTGAGGGAACTGATGAAAACATGACCGTAAGGTCCCGAGATGAAGAATAGATTATTCACTGTCAGGGAGAACAGTAGGCAAGACAAAAAGAGTTACAAGGTGACAGTGCATGTAGTGGAAGGAACTAAAGAAGAAAATAGCAGTAAAAGTGAAATCAAACCCTCTTTGGGGAAAACACAATCATCAGGGATAAAAAGATGGAGACAGTAACATGAGGGTGATTAAAAGGAGAAGAGGAGGGAGTAAGACTAAAGTTGTACAGAAGAAACAAAATCTGCATGTCAGAAACACATCAGACAATCAAGAAAATGAAAACTATCAGCGTATGAAGGCAGTTATTGTAGAAAGGGTAATGGTACCAAGTAGACAAAATACAGAGGTGTCCAAGAAAGGCCCTGCTCTAACAAAAGAGATGGCAACCGCCTGCCATACTAATGAAGCTACTTAGGTTGTGCAAGCAGTGAATATTGCAAGGCAAGAAAGTTTGTTTATCCAATATGCTGCTATCACTACCCCTGTGCAAACACTGGAAAACAGCACATCAGCAAGTGTATTTACTAACAGTATCTTCAAGATCTGGCTAACTTTCTGCCATTGTATATCTACCGCTTGTCACCTTCTCCAGGGAGGCTGGATAGCCACAGCGTTTGCACTGCGTGCAGTCAAAATGCTTTGCTTGCCACAGAGCAAAACTGCTTACAAACCTTTTGTTAAATAAATATGAAAAATATTTATTCCTATATATTCTAGGAAATTGCATTCTGCAAAAAAAAATGTGGCACAAGCAAAAAGGATGTTACATTTGGTGAGAAAATTATATGCTGCAAATAATTCATTCAGCTATAATAAGTAGCCTCAAAAGAAGAGGTCAGTAAAATCCCGGTGAAGGATATTTTTATAATCTATTTCATATTCATTTCCAGCATAACTGTTATTACTTTATGTTATACTATAAGAGCTGCGGACAGCTGAAACAAAATAGCATATGACAACGAACAGGTTCCCTGTGGCATCCAGTGCCATAAATTAACATTAGGGGATATGCTTTATTTTAGTATGGATTTCTTGATATCCATGAAGCCCATCTTAGGACAATACAAATTGCTAGGGTAGGGAAGGGAGAAATAGGGGGAGGGGAGATGAAGAGAGAGGGAAAACGTGACAGTTTAGTTCCAGTGGAGATTAAAATCTCAGTTTTCCTGCATTTCAGATGGAATTTCTTAAACATTTTGATTTAAAAAAACCCAACATTTAAAAAATGTCTGTATTTTAAAATGTTTATGCACTTAAAATAGGAAATACTGTGCTATATGATTGCAGTATATTTCATCTGCTAGTTGGAATCTGATAGGACGCAATGTAAACTTTGAAGTTAAATAGCATTTTGAAACAAAATCCTGAAACATCTGATTCAATAAGGTACATTAAGAGACACATTTCCACTTGAATTTTTTTCTGGAATTGAGTCATTCTTGCAGAATATCTCAGTGTAGATGAATATATGAATTTTAGATAGAAAAGTCTTCTCAGCAAGTGTTTAGCCAACACTAGTTGTAGATTTTCCCTGTGTTTAACTGAACCTTGCTGCATATCAGGCGAGGCACCTCAGCGCTTCGTCCTTCAGACAAAGCAGGAGCACTTTGCTGAGCAGGGAGCCAGACCGCATATGGCAGAATGCAGGAGAGGTGCATGTGGCCACCACTGCACAAGTAGCATGTCTGGACCATGCCATGGGAGGGGATCTGCCAGGGCACGTGCTCCATGTGTCCCCTGGGACCAGCACTGTCCCTCTCCAGGCTTGTCTGCCAATACCTTCACATCTCCTCCTCAGGACCTGTCACCCGCTTCCTCTCAAATAAAACACCTCCCTCACCTTGGTGAAAGTCAAGCAGTCCTTATCTTGATCTTTATCCTTTATCTCAAAGTCGTAAAGTGCTTTGCCCTGAGGTGGAGCTTGCGGGAGAGGCTTGATACACTGGATGTAGCTGGCGGGGAAGAAGCCGTGGTTTCCATTGAGCTCCCCGTGGTACCAGTTCTCATCCACCTTGCGTCGCAGGATGATGATGTCCCCCTTGTTAAACTTGAGGTCTCCAGGCTCCTTCCCCTCATACGTGTAGAGAGCTTTGCCATAGGGCAGCTGAGAAGCACTCTGGAAAAGCAAAAGAAGCAACAGCTGTAAGTAAACTCAAACTGGCACCGATTTCCTTGTCCAGGTTCCCTTCAGCAGTGAGCAAACTGGTAATCTGTGACTATATAACCCCAATGACTGTCCGAACCCTTGAACAGGCCATACATGAAAACTGGGGTAAGCATGACACTAGTTGTCCTGTCAGATCAGGCTCTGCAGCTATGAGGAAGCACCACAGTTTTCTGGAAGTTCAGCTGAAACCCACAGGACCTCTCACACAACCAAGCAGTGTCGGTTAATCTGCAAAATAACCTATGCAAGTAGCGGCTGCTGATTGAACATGTAAAGGATGATGTGTCTGAAGATAAAATAATGTCTAAGGATAAAATACTAATAAAATAATTATCCCATATAGTTTTATACAAAAACATTTGGCCTTCAGGCTTGCTTTGGTTTCTGGAGCACAGCAAGATAAATAAAACAAATGGGAAGACTCACATGATTTTCAAAGTTGGCAAGCTGAAAATTTTTCCTTGTGTTTGTTTGAGCAACTTCAAACATTTTTGAATTTAAAGCTTTTAGTTTAGCTTCTGATTTTGCAACCAAATACTCCTAGTCCTCTCAAAACCCACAAGTTCCATGCTGTACATTGAGGGCTACTGTAAACAGTTACAATATTCTTTGTTGCTTCTGAATTAATGTCCCTGGGAAAAAAAAAAAAAAAAAAAAGCAGAACACACAGAATGCCTCAAATCGTTCCTTTAGAACTAAAAAGAGCTCTGAGACTTTCGCTCTCATTAAAATAAATAAATAATTAAAAATAAAATCACAGCACAAGGGTAAAAAAAAAGCCAAAAAAAGTGAATAGCTCAGCACAGAAGTAAACAGGCAACATAATTCTTCTCCAGTGGAAATGACCTGGCTGTGCAGAATGCTTCCTAGAGCCCATTTTGGCCTGGTGCAGGAGTGTTTCACTCAGGCTGCCACTGTTTGGATGATTTTTTGGTGGAAGTGCCAGTTTACTCAGCCCTTGCCCTCGCACCAGCCAGTTCTTGCATGCGGCATCTCGCAGAGCAGGGGCATCTGTGCTGCACGCAGTTGCCCGCTGGCTGTGGCACAGTGCCCTACAAAAGCTCCTTAATACACCGTGTGAACCACTGCGGGGCACGAATGGTGAAAAGGTGCACTGCTGTGTTATCCCGTGACAGTTTTTTATTTTATTTAGCCTAACCTAAGAGTCAGTTTGCAAATGTCAACCCAAACATGTAGCAGCATGTACCATAGAGAAAGTAATACTTAATGGAGCTCTGTAAAATCAGCCTTCATAAATTTTTTTTTGAGAGACTCGTTCATAAGTACGACATAGTTTTCTGTTGCTTATGGTGTGCCCTACAGGAATAATGAAAATTATATTTAATAAAATAATCAGGTATTTCTCAGGGTGTTTCTTGGGCCTGTACTTTTGGATGGCATCTTTTCTTAGCATTCATATACATAAGAATAGCACTCCAGTGGTTTCAGTAGAGACAAGAAATGGAGTGGCCTGACATTTCTCCACCCCAAGCAGAAAATGAGATGCTTCATTTAATTATTTGATCTCTTCTAAAGCACCAAGTAGGGGCACTTTTAGACATCAATGGTGTATTAATTGGACCACTGATCTGCCCTGGTTTTGTGCTCTTTCTGTAAGAGAAGCAGAATTAGCAGCCTGCAGTTTATACTGCTTTCTAGCCCAGTCTCTCATGTCTGGTTCTAGACACCATATGGCCTCTGCAGCGCACCGATACAGTACTGATCACAAAGTAAGTTCCTGAGTGCGTCTTCACACACAGGTTTTAATTTACTCACTTTATTAGGAGGGGTTTTAGTAGCTGTAAATATCTTGGAAAGCACATGCAACAGATCTTTTCATCTACTTTACGTTGTAAGGGAGCAAGTCCAAGAGGCACAGCTACACAAAGTGCTGTATTGCTTGGGCTGGGGTTTAATTTCATTGAACTGTGCCCCAGCTCTCTGCTTTTTCATTACTCATTTGTCATTCCCCTCTTTTTGTCTGCATTCTTTTTGATTTTGCCATATATGAATGAAGATATCCAGTTAAAGACCGATATTTTGGAAGCACCTTCAAACATAACAAAAAGGAGTAAAAATACAGACAAGAAAATCAACAGCCAGCTAACAAAACATACATCAAACAACCTCTGCCAATTCACTGCAGCATCCTACTGATATTTTTCTCTCTGCCAGGATGGTTATTTCCCTTGACACCAAAGCCTGCCTCTCTCCCTAGCATTTTAAAGATTAAGCATGCAATACCATCAAGGTAAGGCATAGATTGCATTACCTATTGGAAACCAGAAGAAATATTAAGCTGGAAGAAAGACTACAGAGGCATGCAGTAATTCAGAAATAAAAGATTCATTACTTTAACTCATGCTGAGAGAAGACAATTTATCAAACAGTGAGCAGGACTTCTGCCAGGTGTGCAATGAACCACTGCTGATCCAGGCCCAAGCCTGGCAAACATGCTCCGTATCAGTTACCAAGGACGGGGCCTGCTTATTCCCAAGATCTTTGCAGGAATTCAAGGTCAGATCACTTTCCTTCATTTTTAATCTCTTTTATTTTTTAAGCCTTGTTTTCCTATGTTAAAAGTGAATGGCCCTCACAGTTGCAGAAGAAGCAACTGGATTTCAGTCAGTCTCACTTCTCATCAGCAACTTTCTTGTGCTGCATATGCTTGGCCTCTACTGCTATTTTACTGAGCTGTTTAGAAAACGATTCAGGTGTTTGCTGCTTAGTCTGAGGAAGATACAGACTTTTAAATAAAAGAAACAACTGAATTGCACAGATTCTGGCCCCAAATTTTAATTTGAAATCTGTCACTGTTTAATTTGGAGACCTTGGATCGCAAAGTATCTGCAATTTAGGTGCTTTGAGCTCCTCTGCTCCTCTCTGGCCTGCGTAAGTTCCATGCCCAGATCTACATATGCTGCAGCACAGACATGTGCCCAACTGGGGCTAACTGGGGAACACATCATCTGCCTTGGGACAGAGTCCTCCTCAGAAAAGAACCTGCACATATGGTACCCAGGTAACCACTACCAGCAGGAAGGTGTTTCCAGGATAAAATGTTTCAACTGTCAGCTAAAGTTGTTTAATTCTGAGCTGCAGCTTTCTGATTAAAAAAAAATCTGAAGAAAACATTTTTTAAATAAAAATGCTTTATCAGAAAGGTTCTCTCCCATGTAATTCTGAGCTAGTCACCTTCCACATACACTTTGCTTCACTTGAGTCCCCCCATTCGAAGGCAGGGCTATCAGCCAGGACTGTTTGCAGACTCATGGACAAACCCTGAGAGCCTGGCTTGGAAGTAAGCCAGTCTCATTTTCTCTTTGGAAGTTTTGCCCTGTGTCCTGCCCTATTTCCTCTCAACTCTTTGTCCCACCCAATGGCATTTAGTGAGACACAGCATCTTCAGTGAGCCCAGATGGTTGTCTTTAACAAAACTCCTAAATCTAAAACAGGCTGTGAAGTATCATCTAAAGGTATGCCTTGGCGTTAGACTAAAGAAAGCCAGAGGCAGGCGATGGCTTTGGTGGGAGGCAGCGAAGAGCACATAAGGATGCTCCTGCAGCTGCAAGCATATGGACACACTTTCATCTTGGTCCCTCCTTCAGCTCCTCTTTTTTCCCTGTCTCAGGACAGCTCTTGGGAGCACTACAGCATCAGCAAGCTGCAGAGCCCCAAAAGGCAACACCTCCTCGCCACCCTCCTCATGCCTGTTCCCCAGCCAAACCTCTCCCTTGACTGTGTCCCCATTTGGGACCTCCCAGCTGCAGGATGCAGCTCCCTGGCCTGCCACAGCCACGCAGTGCTGCCCACACTCATGTCCCTTTCCAGCACGTGTGGCCGCCCCAGGTCAGGTTGACAAGGCCCTTCGCTGCGTGTGTTGCGGCCTCCTTCACACGGCACCTCCTGGATGTCGGCTCTGGCGCTGTTCTCCTGCACCCCTTGCTGCTCTTCGCCCCATTCCCACAACATCTCATCAGGCAGGACACAGGCAGCTTTGAAATGAAATGGCCTCTGCATGTGACAGCGTATTACGGAATTGATTTGCCCTGGTGATTTATAGCTAGGTTAACTGGAATTCAGCTAGGATGTGTATTATATTTCACATCTCCGTGTGCACCCATACAGAGCGAGAGGAACAAAGAAAGGAAGAGCGTGGGCAATGGCAACGACTACTTTCTTTTCCCTGCCAGAAAATGCTTGTTGGCACAACGCTGAGCTCTGCCAAAGGTTTCTTTTATTTTTTTTTTCAGCAATCAATACTGACGTAAAAGCCTGAAGCGTTAATATGCTGAAAGCCCCCCTTGCACAAGACTTAATGATATGTTGGCAACTCAATCATTCTGCATTTGTGTTTCAGCAATGTCAAATGGCAGCAGTTTAAGCAGAAACCTGCTGGCAAATTGACAAACAACAGCCATGGAGCAATTAACTGGCAATGCTGGAGAATTTTTCATTGCATATTCCGATGAACAAAAGAAGAACATGCTTGTTGCCAATAAAATCTTCCAGTAGAAAGCTTTTCAGAGCACAGGTAGAATAGATCTGAAGTTCTGGAAAGTTATGGTGAAGAGAGATGTTGTCAATATGCTCCAAAACAATGCAAGTTTGCGTATGTGTCAGAGCTTGCCAACTTCTTCATGTGACACTCGATGAAGGGGGCTACTGCTAAAAAAAAAAGAAAAAAAAAAGGGGTCTCACACTTGCCCAAGTCCATTGCAGGTCCCTACAAAACATCATTTTGATACCTCACACTATTTGGAAGTGAAAATAAAACCCTCGCTGTGTGTGCAATGAGTTTTTCTTGTGACTCACAGCAGTGAGTAGGTGTTTAACTTTCTGTACCTATGTATAATTAGGAAGGGTGTGCACTGAAGACAGCACTAAAACCAAAAATATAAAACAAACCATGAGGTACAGGGCAGATTTGCTAGCTCACAAGTACACCA